ATATATTTGGCTTTACACAGAGACTGCATTATTACTGGCTCTGTAACCAATTGAAACATGGAGAGAAGTCTAACATGATGGTTACATTCTTCTATAGGCATTAAAAAAATTATTTGTTTTTTATTGGGTCTATGCGTAACATTTGCATCTTGTTACCACTGATATTTTAGCTTTAAAAGTTTTCAGACATTCCTTCAGGGCTTATCTTAAGTACATTTTTATTAAGTTCCCTTCTTTAAAAAAATGAGATCCAGTTAGTTTTGACTCGCATTGCCTTTGACAATGATAATCTTTGTCCTTTCCAGCTGCAGCAAATTTAAGATAATCTCTTTTTCAAGTGGACTTCATTAATCTTCCAAATGAAATACCATCCTGAGGTAAAACAATTATTTCCAGTTCAACTCTTAGTAATAGTTAAGTCTTTGCTGGAAAGGACGACTAACATCAGGCAGACTCAATATCTGCACCAATTAAGAACAATTTTGCAACTATAATATACAAATCTATTCAAGTGTTCAGAGTAAAGCTCTCCACAGACAGATCAGCAGCCTTCTTGCACCTAAAAGGGAAAAAAAAAAAAAAAAAAAAAAAGGAGAACAGGGAATGACTGCAGAAGGTTTTCACCAAGTCAGCAGACTCTCGCTGGCCACACGCAGCAGCATTTGGACTGTCATCACACACAGCGATGAGCTTTAGATCTTCAAGGGAGATCTCGGTGCAGGTCTGGACGCCGAAAGGTGAGACACCTCGCCTGGAGCAGCCGCCGCTCGCCAGCTCTGCGCGCTGTCCCCAGCATCGCCGCCCGACACATCCCAGACGCACACGTTTTGTCTGCCTTAGCCAGATCCCCAGATGCACGCGGTTTTTCCGCCTTAGCCAGAAGGCAGACCAGCAGTGCTTCAGCCTCGGCTGGGCTGGCAACGTAACTTCACCAACTGGGGGACTGGGGAGGGAAGCACATTCGTTTGCCCCTTCCCGCAGCCAAGGTTTAAATACCTGGGTGCACACTTACCAGCAGAAACACAGGGCATCACCCTTCGTCCGAGATGCCGAGGCCCCATTCCGCCCAGCTGCCTGAAGCCTAACCGAAGGACCCCAGAGCACGCCTGTACCAGGGACAGGCGGTGACACGACAACAGACCGTGCCACTTTCACATCCCCAACCGCTCTTCAAAAAGCAGATTTTTCTTCTAAAATAACCTAAACTGATCACAGTAACCCAAAGTCCCTTGTGGGGCAGCTGCACAGTCACATGCCCACAATTAAACCTGCTCGTCCCCCTTCACGAGGCTGGTTACCCACGGACAGAGGGACAGACAGATCCAAGATTCAAACACCCATCATTAAAAAAACCCCAAAACTATTTCATCTAACCTCAAAGGAGGTGAAGCAGTACGGTTGATTTTTTTTTTATTTCTAGACAGGAAAAAAAAAAAAAAATGAAAAAGACTTCACCTCTATATTTCAATTTACAAAATCTGACACTTACCTCTATTTTCAGGTAACTGTCCCTGAACGTATTTTTTTATTGAGCTAGTTTGACTGCAAAGAAAGCGGACAATCTTATATTTTCTTGTTTAAATGGTACTAACAGATAAAGTTATGAAGAATTTGGAATCAGATCTATGGCCAGAAGTTCTTCTAAATGCTAGTACAGTTTGGGAAAACATCCTAAAGAAAATTAATTTTAAGTTAGTTTTTCCCTGTAAATCTCTTCCAATTGCTAAGTCCCACAGCTGAAGTCATAATCCATAGCATAAAATCATGATCATTACTAAAAAAATATTATAAGATTAAGACACCATCTTAAGTAGAAAAAGATTCAATTTATATACAATTTGTGTAAAACAACATCATCTGGAGAAAAAGAAAAAGGCAGTTTTCATCTGAAATATCTGCTGGGCTCCTTAAGGGAAACGTTTTCTCATTTCTACTTCAGATACAAACAAAAGCCTGAGTAAAATATGATCTAGGTGCTCTACTGACTCGAATATTTTCTAGACTTCAGTTTCTTGTGTTAGGATGTCCAAGAAAAGTTATTTCGGGGAATGGAACAAAGGAGTTGAATATATTTTCCTAAAATAAAGCCACTGGTAATCCCAAAAACTGCACAGGCAAAATTTCATTGGAAAAAGCACCCGAGATGATTTTCCACTATTAACAGTAGCAGTAAAGTTACCTTTTAAAAAAAAAAAAAAAAGGAAACAAAAGGGATTATTTCACCTCTGAATTCCACCACTGCATTTTTCAATTCACAAGTGTAACATCAATGAGTTTGTGTCGTCAACAAGAGACACATCAGATAAGCTATATATATGTGTTTGAAACTGAGCATTTGCTTAAGCATTATTCACCAAGGTAATGTATCACCTGCCTGGCATTTTCCTGGCAGCCAAATATTTCGAACAACAAACATTTCCTAGCTGTGACCTTAATCAAGCAGTCATCCTGGAAAGGAAAAAAGCCTCCATGGTTTTAGGAAATAAACGCAACGTATCGCTATCTGCTTAAGCATTCTTACATATCGAGTCGGTGGCTTATCGGCCAGGTTTCAAGGCCCAGTTGCTTTAAAAAGGCTGCTGCGTTCTGCTGGCTCTCGGGTTCAGCAAAAATGACTGTTTTCTTGGTGTGAAACAAGAAAGCCATTCTGGCACACCTTGCAGACACGGTGTTCCCAACTCGGAGACCTCAGCAACGCGAGCAGCGCCCTGTCGAGGGGCTGCGTTCAAAACCTGGGCCCAACTTTCTGCAGGCCCTAATAGCACCGTCAGGAGGCTTATTTTCCACTTGAAGCTCATTTCCCTAAATAAAACTCGATCATCAAAGGGTTCACAGCAAGATAAACCCAACATGTGTATTTATATACACATACGTACACACAAACATGCCATGAGAGAGAATCCCTGCCCTGCAAAAACAAACAAGAAAACATTGGTACCAACCTTTACAGGATTGCTGACAGACACTGCAACACCCCATTAGCTCATGATACTGAAATCGAATTGACTAATCTCCTCTGACTGCAAGAATTAAATTTAAAACAGCACAGCGTTACTCCCTAAGCATGCAAGAGTGTGCTCAAGGCCACAAATGAAAAAGCCAATCTACCCCAAAAGAGTTTAATGTGTGATGTCCATCTGATGACTGAAGGTCACAGAAAAGTGGAACAATCATTCCAATTACATCGTAATGAACGTACCATAAAAGACACACTGCAGATATAATACTAGTGGGATACATGTTGATATGTATTAATCAAATTTGATTTTCAAGCATCAGGAGAAAAACCTGTTTCAAGAGCCGGAAGGGTGGCGAGAACAAGATTTGCAATTGCCTACAAAGAGGCCCCCTTCACCCCACTGAAGGCATTTGGTTTGCTCAATCCCCATGAGTGGTCAAGCAGTCACACCTGAATACAGACTCTGGGGTGAAAATCGGCTGTACACAAGCAAGTAAAAGCAGAATAGACAGAATCAACCGTGGATGAGCAGAAAGACTGAGCTTAAACTGTCCAGAAGTCTTTTTCCTTAAGAAGAAAAAATAAATCACGCATCCTTTAAAAAGGAGAAGTATGCCCAACTTCTGGAGACATAACCCACAACCAACACATAATCTTCCTTAACCAAGCGCAATTTCCTCTGAAACACCACTACTCCCATCTCCTTGGTACCAACCATAAAAACAAAAACAACCCTATGTCATGATGGCATCTACTGTTCTAGTCTGAAAAAAAAAAAAAAGCCAACATCTCTTTCCATCCAGATTCAGTAGGTGCTTCAGCCGTAAAGTACAGAGCAATCAAGGCACACAAGCTTTAAGATGCACTGAAAGTAGACAGTTAACAAACAGGCCAGAAATTACTACTTAAACAGATAAACCAGCCTAGAAAATCTCTCTAAACCGAGTTAATTCACAAGGGGAGGTCTGTTATAAAAGCTGATGACTAGAGGTATGCAAAGAGCACACTGCAGTCCTGTTACCCTGGACAGAAGAAATTCAGCTACGCTTCATAGGCCACAGAGCTGAGAAATGCCAGCTGCCTCAAAAAAAAAAAAAAAAAAAAAAGGATTAAATTTGTTCTGCAGAAAAAAACCCACAAAAACAAAAAGCAAACCACCACCACAAGGCTGGGAAAGAAGGAAGCGCATTTTAAGGCTAAAGATGACAAAACTCCAAACGGGAGTGCCCACGCCAGCCCCAAAGGACAGGCAGCTCTTCAGACAATGCAGGAATCTCCCTGCAGAATCCCAACTACCTTTTTTTTTTTTTCCTCTGGCCTCCATCTCTGCCACAGCTACGTTGGGCAGGCAAATACGGCAAACCGAAGGGATCACTATCCATCACTGGGGCAAGAAAAACACCATTTAAAAACCCAGGGCTGCCCAAAAGGCTAAGAGAAACCTCCAGATCACCGGGGTTTACAAAGGCTGTTATTAGGATTTTTTTTATTTTGACTAATTCAGAGGAACATCTTGAAGTGCAAACCTTCCCCTGCAGTATTTGCAACCCAAATATTGCAGCACTGAGCTAATTTCAGAGAGCTGGCACACAGAATCGACTACTAGAGTGATTAGTCCAGAAAATGAAGGCAAGCTAAATTTAGGAGCAACTAAGCAATGCAATATTAATAACAGATTATTTAACCATCTCCAAAAAGGGCTTTTTAAAATTATTTGGTTGAAGTCAAGCTGGCAATGTTCCTTTTAAGACCAAGGCTCTCCAGCCTGCCAGGGAAGGACCCTACAATTTTCTAGACGTCTTGCTGAGGTGCAACCTTCCCCCCCCCCCCCCGCGCTGAGGAAAAGCCTCCCCGAACCCCCTGGGAGCATCCTGGGCAGCGGGGAGGGAGCCCTGGGGCGGGGGGAGGCCTGTCCCCACGTCCCCCAGGGTCTCCCCCGATGCTTCCTCGGCCCCAAGGAGGGACTTGCCCGTTTCCCCGCAGTGCAGGAGCGGAGGGCCCGCATCCCCCCCCCCCCCCCCCGCCCTCCCCAGCCGCTCACTTTCTCTTGTACTCGTCCCGCTCCCGCTTGACTTTGGCCAGCACGTTGTAGAGGGCGCGGATCTCGGGGGTGATGGTGTCGATCTGTACCCCGACGCCGTCCGGATGGATCCAAGAGACGCCGGGCCCCTGCACCGTCTCCAAGGCGCCGCCCCCGGTCCGCCGCACCTGGGTGTAGCTCCAGATGGTGCCGGGCAAGCGGCTGTAGTGGGGCGGGGAGGCGAGGGGAGCGGCGGCCGGGCCGTGGCCGGGGCCCGGCGGCAGCAGCAGCGGCGGGGGGGGGGGCCCGGCGTCGGTTTGCACGGCCTGGTCTCGGGAGAAGGTCTTGTAGCGCAGGCGGCGGTCGCGCTCGCTCTGCTGGGCCGCCAGCTGCTTCTCCAGCAGCCGGTTGCGCCGCTCCAGCTCGTGGACCTTGGCCAGGAAGCAGCGGAACCGCACGTTCAGCCCCTTCAGCAGGTGGATGTTGGAGCCCAGGTCGTTCCGAAGCGCCGCCGTTACCGGCGGGCCCCCCCCAGCCCCCGCCGCCGCCCCCGCCCCGCTGCCGGCGCCGGGCCCCAGCGGGCAGGAGGCGGCCGCCGCGCCGGGGGCGAAGGCGCGGGCCATCTCCCCGAAAAGAAGCGAGTTCATCGCCCGGCGGCCGCCCCTGAGGGGAAGGTGAGCGGGGAACGGCGGCGGCGGCGGCGGGCGGGCTTGCTGCGGCCGGAAGCGGCGGTTTAACGGCCGCCGCGGAGCAGGCGAGCCGCTACCGGGGCGGCGGGCAGGGAGCTGAGGAGAGAGGAGAGAAAAGAACGAGAACCGGGAGCTGCTCCGCCACCGCCGCCTCCCGCTCCTGCGGCTGCCGCCGCTGCCCGGGCACTGAGCGGCCGCCGGGGCGGGCCCAGCTCCGCCCACCGCGCCGCCGGGACACGCCCCTTCCGCAAACCACGCCTCCCTCCCATAACCACGCCCACATAGCCACGCCCACACATCACACCGCCCCTGACTCCGCCCCCTCCCCGCAAGCCACGCCCCCCAGCTGTGTGCGGTGGGTCCCTCCGCGTGTCCTCGGGGGGTGGTGGGGGGGGGTGTGTGTGTTGATTTTTGGGGGGTCACCGGCTCCAACAGAGCTCCCGATCCCCCCACCTGCCCCCGGATTAATTAGCCAACAGACAATAAATGAATAAGCATTGCTCTGCCCTGAGAAACGCTCCCCGCCCCCGCCTTTGCAGCGCCGCTTTGGGCTCCCTCATTGATCAGATTAAATTATAAAGGGTGAATTTTGTTATCCGCATGCAGAGTCCCGCCTAAGTGCTAAATAACGTCGATATTATAACAATTAAGTTATTAAATCAGCGTTTCCCAACTGCTGCTCCTGGGCCTCTGAGCCACTCGTCAGGCAGAGGTTATTGTTTAATTGAATGATGTGATTGCTCTGTTGTGCGGCCACGGGTGGGAGTGACGCTTTGTGAGCAACCAAAGTACCAGTAACACTGGTGTAAAGCTGTAGTAACGTTATTCGCTCAGATAGTTTTTGAAATACAAATACAGTGCTTTGCCAGGTAATATTTATATTAAACTACACAAGCAAAATTGATATTAAACTACATGGGCAGCAGCATCCACTCGCAGAAACTCCACCAGCACCTGCGAGTCGCGCTGGGCGCCGGAACCAAACGCTCTTCAAAGGGCTCTGTTAACGTGTTACAAACCTGTGTTTTCCCAGCACCTCCTGGGAAAAAAAATAAGTGTACTGGGCGGAGGCGCTTTATTAAAAGGGTGACTCAAAGAAACACCTGAAAAGCTTATTTTTCACCAAGCGCAAAAACTCTCTAGCCTCAGTTTATGTAGGTTGTAACCTGTGTTCATTGCTGAGGTTACGGGAAAACACCTTTAACACCTTGATCGTTAGGGCATGGCTGTAACTGCTCATGCTGGATGCCCTCGATGCATCAAACAGAGCCGTATTTGAAGCAAAAAATTGCAGCTCGCTGGGAAGCGTTCCCATAGCGTGTACCCCCCTGCAGAAGCGCAGCAATGCTTACAAAATGCAAAAGTCAACTAAAAGTGCCAATAACGAGGTGATTATTAGGGGCAGAAGCCGACCCAGAGCAGGTTTCTCCCAGATCTGGGTAATTTGCTGGTTTTGAGGCGCACAGCACCCTTGCTGGCGGGTGGTGATGATGGAAAGAGCCGAGTGATTCCAGAACCCAGCGAAACCGTTTGGTCAACAGCTGGGAAAATCCTGTTGAACAACAAGAGATATTTTAATTTTTTCCCTTAAGGAAGCAGGGAAACATCAGAGGGAATGATAAACCAGCTGGTTAATTAATGCTTCTGTACCTGCCCGGTGAGAGATGCGCATCGTGGTCGCTCGTTAGGCAGCACCCATCGCCGTGGTGGTGAGGACGGATTCCCCAGGGCCCCGTCCAAAGGTCGTTAAGCCGATGAGTCGTTTCCTAATGGGCTTTGGCTCATCCCCGGGTGCGTACGGTCACCACCAGCACCCCACTCCGCCGCCGGGCTGCAGTTTCATCCCAGCTCCTGCAAGTGAATCATTCTGAATTAATCGCAACAATTAATTAGGCTGAGGCTGGGAGAAACGGGAATCCCTCTTGCAGGAGGGCTGCCGGGGTCCGGCTGGCGGGATACCCCGCGGCGGCTGGGACATTCCGGTAAGGATTCCTCCGATTCCTGCCGTGGAGAGCTCCCCGCCGCCTGCCAATTGCAGATATAAATAATGAAGCACTGATGAGCCCTTTCCTATTCGGACAGGGAGAAAAAGGGATGGGAAGTGGTGCTATTTCTGAACGCAAAAACTACCCAGCAATTAAATAACGGTGACCACCCCTAGCGATGCTAATAATAATGAGTTGCATTTATTTTTGCTCCCAGTTGCTTCACCCAAATGCGGGCTGGAGTGGGGGCTGAGGAATCTGGAGCTTTGGGTTTGATTTTCACACCCATTTTTACCTTCTCTTTGTTAGCATCCTTTGCTCAAAAACCTCAGTGACTGTTTCAGGACTGCTCTCTACATCTGCTTACGTTTTTTTTTTAATATTAATTTTCCTGGGTTTGGTTATATACATCGAGGCTTTGCTCGTCTGACACTCATGGAAAGTTCTTGTTTCCTTGGGTCTGTTTTCCTTCCAAGCAACTGTTTTTCAGCCAAACCAAACCAAACTCAGCAGCCTCGCCAGCAAAAACATACTGTGCCGAGTTGCAGTGAATAGGTGATGCTCCCCCGGGCTGACGTGCCGCGCTGCTGAGCTACGGTGTGCGTGTTTGAATGAATTCCCCTCTAAAACAAACAAGCAAAAATCCTTTGGTTTAACGTCCATAAAATGTCCCTGCCCAGCCCCTGAAAATGCCCAACTCAATCATCTCAGCGGGAAGAGGGAACCCTCCTCGGCTCTGACTTTGCAGCATTGGGGTGAAGCAGCATCCCCCGGCGATCTCGGCGTCCCTCCCTCATCCCCCTTCCCATTCCCTTGGGCTGTGGCAACTGCCCGAGCCTGCTCTTCACTGACCTCGGAGGTGGGAAAAGGTGATTTATTCACCCTGGACTCTGCAGTAACGAGAGGTAGCTTTTCTCCGAGGCTGTCATTTAACAACCAGCAAGCTCCAGGGGTTAAACTGGGATTAGTGTCGCTCACCCGGGGCTCTTACCCCTGCACTGCAGTTTGCTGCCTGCCTGAATAAAGGGGTTTGGGCAAACCAGGCTGCTGAAATAAGCAGAATTTTTAACAGCCCCTCCCCCAAAATGTTTGGTTTTTAACCCAGACCTGTGTGATGATGCGTGAGCATCGGCGGGGTGGTGGCATTAGCAGCTGATGAATTGCTGCAAGAAGCCCCGCCGCATCCCAGCTGCATTTTTTGGCCGGCAAAGCATTTCTGACCCCAGGCAGCCCCTTTCCCCCACGCACTCCCGTGCTTGCCCCAGGAATGGGAGCAGAAGCCAGCCCTGCCTGCCCGCGCCCTGCAGCCGGCACGTGGGAAGATGGGCAAGAAGGCGCTGGCTGCCCCGGTGACTCCTCCTGTGACTCAGACCCCACCTAACGCACCCGGGCGTTGCGTGAGGACACGGAGACGGCAAATCTGCACATCGCCGAGGTGCTGCTCAGAGGAGAAAGGGCCGGGTTAGTCACCGGGGTTATCATTTCCAACCATAGAAGGGAAGCCTTCGAATCGTGTTGGGAATTGCGTGGGACACCACGTCACGCTGTGGAACCAGAACATTTTCGGCAGGTTGGCTGCTACTGATAATGTGTGAGGAAAGAGTTACATCAGTGCTTACAAAACCATAAATTTTTCCTCCCTGCAGGTTCCTCATTGCCTTTAAAGGAGGTGTCTCCTCAAACAGTGGGGGTTTCCCCCATGTATTTTCTACCAGTTCTATCAGCTCATGTGAAATAGGAGCTGCTGCTTAAACCCAGCACCTTCTCCCATTGCAGGCCTATTCCTTCACTCCAGTCGCTTTTTTTAGAGGTAAAAATCTCATTTTGCCACATTTGGGGGTTTTATGTGCATCAGCACCACAGAGTTCAGCCACATGCTGCTCAGGCACGGCCGAAGAGCTACATTTGTCCTCAGCCCATCAGCAGAGAGTTGGGGATGCAAAGGACTGGGTGACTTCAGCACATCCCTATCCCTTCTCCCCTGCGCTGGGGATGATCTTCTCCATGGAGATCACGTCAATATTTTGGAAACATAGACTTCTGCACCAGGTTCAACCCAAAAAGATGGGTGAACTCAGGAGACAGGGATGCAGCGAGAGATAAAGATGCTGAGAGCAGCTGCGAAGCATCCACTAACTTGGAGTGGTTGCGACATGCTGTAGTATTTCCTTGGAAACTGTGGCAATATTCATTGCTTCCTTAGTAACCAAATATTTGCATCTGTCTTGAGTAGAGCAGCAAATATGCATCGATAAGCCCGTACAGGCTGCCGCAGGTGTGTTTTTGGACACAGTGATTGCTTTGGCACTTCATCGAGGATAATTGCAGGATGCCACTTCGTTAATTTGTGCATGCCCAAGTGCACAGTCTCAAACCCGTCGGTGCTAAGCTTTCCATTCTGCAGGTAGCAGGTAGAGCCTGGCCTGATTAATTTAAAAGTGGAACAACTTTCAAAGAATTTTTGTCTTTTGGGAAAAGATATGATGTGACATGATTTCTTTTTCGCTGTTCCCCCACACTTTGTAACCTGTGCTGGGCTCAGCGGTGGGTTGAGCAACATTCAAAGCTCAGAGCACAGAAGGCAGTTATTGGGATATATTTTTAGCTCCCTATCTACATCTCTCTTCCAGAAGCCATTAGCTGAATATTTTCATTCCTTCTACTGTGGGCTTTTTAGCCTGGCATGTTTTGCACAGCACAGGATGAAGACAAGATTCTTGGTGGGAGCTGGTGATGGGAACCCTGGACCACTCCAGCCCCTTCCTCCTGTCGTGAACCCGGAGGGATGCTCGTGGCAGGGGCAAGAAAACTTGGTGTCAGCGGAGTGAGTCAGTGAGCCGAAGCGTTCAGAGCAGCTCCCCTCTCGGATTTCCCAATGTCCTGGGGTGTTTCTGAGGGAGAGGTGCTCGGGTGGAGTGCCTTGACAGCTAGACGCCCAGTTTTCAGTGGTTCCCAGCCCATAATGCAGCCCAGTGGCCTATGGCTGGTAAATACCTTTCCTCTGCACCAGCTGATGCAGTCACTGAGCTTGTTATATCAAAACTGCTTACAGCAGGCAAAATATGGACCGAGGGAAGAGAAATATTAATGACCTGGCACTCAGGAGACATGCCTTTAATGTCTGATGTCATCATTTGGGAATTAGTTTGTTGTCATCAAATATTAGGAATAATTAAAGGATGGCGCTGCGTTTAGAATGCACTCACATTTGTTCATTAAATAAGATTAAAAAAAACGGCCTGGGAGAAGCTGCAGGGATTAAATGCCCTAAGAACGGCTTGTGGGGTGTCCTGACATGCAGATGCTCAGCCGCCCAGTGCGGCACCAGCACGACAGATAACCAGAGACACCAGCACAACAGAAAACCAGAGACACCAATGCAACACCTCAGCACAAACACCCATTAGGGGCTGAAAATGAGATTTTATCAGCCGGGCACACGTGCTATCCTGGGGCGCTGGTTTTGGCTTTCATTGCTATCCAGGGCTGTAATTTGTGTCCAAGCCTCAGAGGACTTCAGCCTTTGCAGGGCCAAAGCCTTTCCCACCCCCATTTCCCCAGCCCTTTCCCACCCCCATTTCCCCAGCCCGGGGTGAGGACAGTGAGCACTTACCCCAGGGCCACACGCTGAGGGTTACTGAGGTCCTGTTGCTGCAACACTTGGGAAAGAACAAGAGCGAAGTGGGATTATTGTTAATAACAGTAATTATTTGGGTTATCATCATTATGGTAAACATCTAAACGATTCGAGCCTGACAGCCCATTAATCAGTGGCTGTCCCTGGCTGCCCTGCCCTCCACCTCCTTCCTCAAATTACAGCATCTCCTTTATTCCTCTCCCACCTCCTCCAGCCCCTGCTGCTTCCCCACCACCAGGAAAGATGCAGAAGATGCCAGACCCAACACCCTTGGCAAGACCAGCCAAGACTAAACGTGATGTTCTTGATATTTATTTATTTTTTTAAAAGCGCCCAGTCTGTCTTCATATACCAAAGCTGAATTTAAACCACGAACAGCTTGTATTATTGCAACTTCTGCTTAATATATGCCCTTTTCTCTATCATGCACCTTCCCCAGTGGAGAAGGGCTGTAGGGAGGGTGTTATCCTGCTTCCCCCAGGGGCGTAAGACTAATGCAATAAATGTCAATATATTCCCAACTGCAGAGCAGGTCGGGGTTAATTGCAGCGGCCCCAGAAGCTGATGTGGGCTCTCTACATCAAAACCATTTCTCCTGTGGCTCCGGGGCCCCCCTGGACATTTGCAGGTAACTGAGGACTCGCTGGAGGGTTGCACCAGCTTTGGCTTCGCCAGCCAGGCTGAGTTATGATTCACCTGAAAGTGGTTTATATTTTACAAGGGAAGGGAGCAGGCTGAGTCAGGCAGAGGAGTGTCGGGGCGGTGGCAGGTTTCCAGAAGGAAGCCCCTGCTTTTTTGGAGTGGGAAATCCATCGCGAGGTGCCTGCTGCTCCCAGGGTGGCGTAGGAAGGGGCAGGAGAGCTCTGCGGCACCCGGCTGCGCAAAAGAGGCAACGGGGAAATGTCTGACCCCACCTGGGTCCCTGGCGACGGGGGGACAAAGGGAAAAATCACTGCGGGGCAGGAGAGGAGGTTTGGAGAGAGGTTGTAACTCCTGCTTCAAATCTGGGACCTGTAGCAACAGATCCTGGGCGCAGGGAACAGCACTGAGCACAGGATTATCCTGCGCTAATAAAAACTTAATAAGCGCTATGAAAATAAATAAAATCTTTCAAGAGGCAGCGGCCAGACCTCTTTATCAGAGGGCTGAAAGCAGCGTTCCCCATCCCGATCTCTGGGGATGCTGCCTTTTGGGGGGGGTGATGCCCGAGGGGCCCTTAACCTGCCTCGGGTCTCAGTGTTAAAAGGAAGCAAGCGCTTCCCCTTTACATGTAATTTGTATGGGTTTATTTTTAATTTTAACCAAAAAGCATCTCTTTCTACCAGCATGTTCCCCTTTGGGAGGGGGAGAAGGATCTCTGCTGATCTCCAAGGTTTTGATAAAAGGGACGGGGCTGGCCGAGCCGAGCAGTCGATGTGAATGACTGGGATCAATCCTGCCAAAAAAAAATCTGCAAACGGGGATTTAATCATTTCCCCCCACCTTGGAAACCAGGGAAGTTTCCAAGGGAAAGAAGTAGTTAGAAGGGAGTAACTATTCCCAGAGGTTCAGGCGGTTGCAGCTGGCTTCTCCCAGCAGCTTCGTGTACTGGGTGGGGGCACATCCCTGAAGTGATTTTATACTTAATTCGCCCAAGCATCTTTTCCAGCGGTCCTTGCAAGCTGCACGGCTTGTTTTTCCCCGTGCCCTCGATTCTGTACGCGTGAGTCGTGAATCATCAATGCTTGGGGTGATAACGTGGCCGGGCTGCGCCCCAGCCATGTGCAGCAAACAAGCTGAGGCCAATTTTGATTTTTTTTTTTATCTGGAGTCGGGCAGGGAGCAGAAACGAGCCCCACGGGGTGGCTTCTGGGGTGGCTTCTGCATAAGCTCGCACGGACCGTGGAAGGTCTCTGGAAATGTGCTGGGAAAGCTGCTCCTCGGGCTGGCAGGGCGGCCGCTCTCCAGAGCAGCTGAAAACTTCCCTGGTTCCACTTGTGAATTTAAAGGCAATTTGGGAGCCTGGACTCGGTGTTTTTGGTACTCATTTAGGTCACTTACCTGCTTGGAGGACACCCAGATCTAGTCCTTGAGCTCGATGGGGCATAAATTGGTAAGGATTAAGCCCCGAACCGAAAAGGCAAGGCTGAGGCAGGGAGGGAATTTTGCAGATTTGCTTTATTGTCACAGGCAGACGGCAAAGCAACGGGGCGCTGCCACGGCTGCGCTCACGGCGCGGCAGAAATGGTTATTCCTGCGACGGAGCCAGCAAGGGCCGGGCTGGCAGAGCCTGGCGTGATCTTCCTG